CAAAGTCCTTGGTCAGTCCCCCTCTCAGTCAATGGCAACGTCTTTGGTCAGTCCCCTCTCAGTCCATGGCAAAGTCCTTAGTTGGCTCCCTCTCAGTCCTCAGTAAAGTCCTTGGTCAGCCCCCTCTCAGTCAATGATGAAGTCCTTGGTCGGCCCCCTCTCAGTTCATAGCAAAGTCCTTGGTCGGCTCCTTCTCAGTCCCCGGCAAAGTCCTTGGTCAGCCCCTTCTCAGTCAATGACAAAGTCCTTGGTCAGCCTCCTCTCAGTCCTCCTGATGTAAAACTGGTTTCTGTTTTGGACAGGGGCATTAATGTCCCAGCGGTTTGGAGTTCAGGGCGGCCTTGTGTCTTCATGTTTCATGGGTTGTTCCTGAATATCCTTGCATATGACGGGCATAGTTTGGGTCTTCTTCCAAACCTTGACAAAGTGAGGAAACAACCAAATAGCATCATCTTACAGCCAGTTGATTTTTCTGATGACCTTAGATTCAAGTCATTTAGAAATGCTCCAAAGCAAGTTTCCATCTCGTGTAAATCTACAGTTCTCATTTTTAGATCTTCACAAATTTCCTAGAAGTGTCCCAGTATTCTGATGTTTGATACTTTTAATGAGTCAAATCATTTTTCTCTGGCAGAGAGAAACCAGCTGCAGTAAATCTCAGTCCCTGATAAGTTATTAGACCTCAACCATGTCAAGTAAAAAAAAAATCTGAAATTTGGGAGAACAATTACAGACCTTAGCTAACACATACTGGCTACAACTCATTCGGTTTTACAAATATCGAGATAAACTTTTGGTTGGTAATAACTGAGAGTCATCACAACACAACACAACACACATACTCTGAGTTTTGAACACAACTGAATGATTAGAGTTTGGATTTAACTCAGTTAAAAAAGTTTGTAGCCAAAAGTCATTCTCGTCACAGAAGCCAAGCGATCACAGATCACACAAGATCTTACAGTATAGTGTAATTTTTGTTGAGTCAACCAAAAACACCAAAACTTCATCACTTTTTAGAATAAGATGCTGAAAAACTAGATCAGCAGCGTGCGATATTCATGTCTTCAAAGAAGGTTATATATGTTTGTTGTCCCCTGTCGTGGAGGAGGGGAACTGGAACTACCATCCATTCATCCACGCATGTTGTGAGCATGATAACTTGAAAATTAAATGAGGTAACAACTTCCATTTTGGTGTGTGGCTGTATCCTGACATAAAAATGCCACCAGATTTGAACGTAAACTGACCACCACTATAGTTTGAAGAATACTTTCTAGTTTTTATATTGCTTAAAAGTATTTTTAAAAAGGGTTGTAAGCTCAATCATCCAGGTAGATAACAACAAAAAAGATTAAATCCTGTCATCTGAACCAGTTTCTTTAAGTGAGAAATGTTTCGTCCTCCATCCAGAGGACTTCCTCAGTCTACGACCTGCCTACCAGAGCTGTCCCATCTAGTTGGCAGGCCATAGACAGAGGAAGTCGTCTGGATTGAGGATAAAACATTCCTCACTTAAAGAAACTGGTCCAAATGACACAATTTAACCTTTTGATGTTGCTTAAAAGTGTAGTTTCCTCAAATGATTTGGGGTGGCCAAAGATTAATCTATGAAGGCCAAGGCCCCCTGGCTCCTTCATTGTACCTGGTTGATAAAATGTCTCCCTACACTTTCCAGGATCCATCACTCTGCTCTGCCTCAGACAAAAAAAAGAAAAACCTCCTTCTGTTCTTCTCCACAGTGTGACTTCTCAGTTACTCTTCCCCCCCCCCCCCCCCCCCACTTGAATATCTTGCACCAAAAACATTAAGGTTTACATTCATTCCCTGTTCAATTCCAGTCCAGAAAAACACTCGTCTGAAAAATTACATTCACTATTCAAACCTCTCAGAATTGGGGGAAATCGGAGTACAGCTTGTTTATTTGTGTTTTTAAGACATTGTCATGTTATTACTCATTTCTGAATGATGTAGTCCTTCTTTTAGTCCTGCCCATTCTTTCTGATTAAATCACCATTCATCAATTGTCCTTTTTTAAAGTAATTTTACATTTTTGCACATTTTCAGTCAATCTGTCGTCATTGATTTGAAGTGAACTTAATTAGAACGAGGTGAGGTCATTATGTGTCACCACATCATGGTAAGAACTGGTACGTGGGGTTAGGTTAGATTCAGTTCAGGTCAGGATGTTCAACTATAATTTTATTTTTGTATGAACGCTTTATACGGCAGACATGTCATCCTTTAAACTAATTCACCTTTGATCTGACGGACAGGATGCTCTGCTGCTCTTGTTCACTGTTCAGCTTAAGGTGAGAAGGCTGCAGCGAGGACCTGGGAGTTAAATGTTTTCAACCATGCCTGATCGAGTTAGACCGGATCATTTTCATGTAACACTTCTGTAATGATAAGAACAAAAGCTTAAGTAATAAAGGAACGAGTGAAATCTGCCTCTTGTCAGCGTTTACGATGAGAAGCACTCGGGTGATTAGATGTCCTGCAATCGATGCCGCCTCTTCTCTTAACATTAAGACTGCTCTTAACAGATTACAGCCCCCCTCCTCCCAAACATGCTCCACTTTTACTCCTCATCCTCACCGCTCCTCCTTCCAGATCACAAAACCACTCTTTCTGCAGCCGCAACAGGAGGCGTGCTCCTCCATCCTTTGTTTTTTGTATTTTACCCTTTTCTCTTCCTCATCTTTAGCTCTCAGTTGGACCACATCTGGAAGGATGATATGACAAAATGAAAAAGACCAAACTTAAAATCAAGGATTAGTGGTAAACTGCTACAGAAGATGGACATGCTGATGATTCCCTGTCTCCTTCTGCTCGTAAGTTTTCATCCCTCTGCAGCCACGAGCCTCATCACAGGTAAGCTCCACACAAAAACACAGCAACAGCACAAAGATGGGAACTCGTCATGTAACTGTGGGTCTGTGTGTCCTCATCACCTGACATCTTGACTCCACGCTGGACTTTGGCTCCTGCAGCAGACTTATTTGAAGCTAGAGGTACGAGACACACGTCTCCTAACTGAGTTTGGCTGGAAAACCAGCGTTCTTCTTAAAATGCTGAAGTGGCGCTTTAGATAAGGAAGTGTGTGTGTGTGTGTGTGTGTGTGTCCAGGCCAGCGTGTATGCAAGGCAGGAAAAGGGAAGCCGTGCTACAAGCTGGCTTATTTCTCGGAGCTGCGTCGGAAGCTGAACTTCGCGGAGGCCGAGCTGGCCTGCAGGCGGGACGGGGGTCAGCTGCTGAGCATCAGGTCTGCAGCTGAGCAGAAGCTCATTGAGCAGCTCATCACCGAGCTCCGCCCCACAGACGGGGACTTCTGGATCGGGCTCCGGAGGAACCACAGGGAGGAGGACAGCAACTCAGACTGCTCCTCTCAGTACTACTGGCTGGACGGCAGCAGGTCTAAGTTCAGGTGGGAGCGGGGGATCAAGGGGTGAAAGATCAAAGGTCAATCAGACAGCCTAACTGATGGTCAAACATGACATGGATTGTAACGTAAAAAAATATTTTGTTTATACATATATTTACTTTGGCTTTCTGGACTTAATGTCACTTTTATTTTTTTTATACTTCCATAAAAAAACTAATCAGTTATAATTATACAGGAATTTAAACATTGACCAAAATACAAAAATAGTATAAATAATATTTTGCAACTAATGATAATAACCCAAAACATCCTTGTAAAAGAGGTTAATAATCTCAATGGATTTCTTTCCTGGAAAAATAAAGGTTTTGATTATTTTAACTAACGAGGGGGAATGACAAACACCTGTGAGAGACAATGAGGATCAGGTGAGAGTGGGCGGGGCCAAAACAGGAAACTGACAGATGACAAGTAAAACACTAGTAACATAACTCAAACACAAAGATCCAGAAACACAGAAACTAAAACATGAATAAGATCAAATAAATAATCAACTCAAAACGAACCGACAAACACTAAAGACTCAGATCTCAACTCCGTTAAACCTTTGAGAACCATCTGTTCTGTGTTCACCTGCAGCTCTGAACAGGAAGAGTGTTAGTGTGTTGTGTAGCTGTGTGTTGTGTTAACGTGTTGTGTAGCTGTGTGTTGTGTTAACATGTTGTGTACATGTGTCTTGTGTTAACATGTTGTGTACATGTGTCTTGTGTTAACATGTTGTGTAGCTGTGTGTTGTGTTAACGTATTGTGTAGCTGTGTGTTGTGTTAACATGTTGTGTACATGTGTCTTGTGTTAACATGTTGTGTAGCTGTGTGTTGTGTTAACGTGTTGTGTAGCTGTGTGTT